ATAAACAACAAAACCTATTTCACCCTATATCAGCTAGTATATGATCCTACTAGTAACAATACTCATCTTCAATCAGACAGCATAGAGCAACCATTAGAAGTAGTCCTGTCACAGATTCATCTTCTTTTACAGTTTAATCGACATAATAACCTAAGAAAAAGGAAACAGATACTTCTGCCAGGAAACTCTATAGACTGGCAGATAAATGTATTTTAGCAAACAGTGGTTCTACCAACTTCCAGTCTATTTGAAGTAGAGATTCAAGTAGAAGATTGGGATATTATACTAATAGAAAAAACCATACAAACAGAAGAACACAGAGATGCTTTTAAAAGCATCTTGAGATATAACAAAAAGAATATGGTTAATCAGCTTATGTTCTATACAGATGGCTCTTATAAAAAAAGAATAACAGATTGTGAATTTGAAATGGGTTTAGCTTGGATCATGATAGTGGAAGACAAAATAGTTAAACAGTAGCATTCATATGGTTATCAGCAATTAGGACTAAAAAACTAACTATTCTCACTGCACTGTAAATAGCCTTCCGAAACACAATAGTTACAATTTATACTGACTACAATACCATAGTCAAAATATGAAAATCTATCTGCTCACAAATAGAGACATCTGTAAGAAAATGAACAAAGATTACCAACCAATTATTTTGAAATAAGATCAAGGATCTAGTAAAGAAGAAAGACCTGAATCTGGAAATTCTACAGATCAAAGCCTATAAAACCAACAGATTCAACAATCAAGTAGACTTATTTGCTAAACAGACCAAGCAAGAGAACCAATAACTTAGCATCAGCTACCAGAGCTAGGAAGAGTCCTCATAATAGTAACATAAAAAGAATATACAATAGAAATTGATATCAAGGATTTCATTAAAATGTTCAATAAGAAAAAGATTGGATTAGACTGGACAACACAAAAATAGATCCAGGATCTTTGAATCCAAAATAATAAAATTATAGACTAGTCAATCTTTTAGAACCAGTTTAATCCAATTAATATCTTCGATACCTCTTTCAAAACCAATAAAGACAAAAGCTTCCTAACTAATCCAACTCACAATAAACTTCCAATCCTATAGATATTTAAAAAAAGAAAACCAGATATATATATCATAACTACTTGCCCAGTATGCAAACTTTAAGAAGAAATACTAGGACATCTTTTTAAATGCTCAGCTACTAGGAAAATTCAAAAAAATTTATGGCAGAAGGCAAATGAAAAGATCAATAAACTCATCAATAAAGAAATAAAAAATAAGAAAGATATTCAACTTAAAATAAGTAACTGGATAGACAAATGGTTAGAAGAGATCCAGGAATTTGACAGAAACCTTTTCAATACTATCTGTGGATATATGAAAGAAAGCAAGACCACCTCCTTGAAGAAGTATTTCAAAGAGCAGCTCAAGATTTCACTAGCAAATACACAGGGTATAATCAATAAACTCTATTAAAAGATAAAAGCAAACTTTAAAAAGAAGATTTGAAATACTTACTGTACCAAAGTTATAGAATGGAAAAAGAAACAAAACATCACAGAAAAGAACAAAAAAAAACAAGAGATCCAAGCCTAGACCTGATGAACAGACCGAACAGAATCAAAAAAAAATTGTCATTATCTTCAAAGGATTCAAACCTGGAGGATATCAAAGAAATAGAAGGAAGGAAGTATACAGTTATTATTAAGGATTGGATTTGTCATGAAATAAGATGGTTTGGTTTTTAACTACAAACAGAACTTAGAATGATCTATAGTAATAACCTGTAGGCAATGATTTTATTAATTAGAGGAATTATTCAAATTAGTAAAAAAGCGAAATATCATTTCCTAGGTTGCATTTAGAGAAATAACTTTTCAACAATGAGTGAGTCAGTATGTGAAAGTTACAACAATTTGTAAATACCTAGCATATATACAATAAAGACATGTCATGCTGACCTGACTGAGGATTAAAAAAAAAAAAAAAAAAAAAAGTATATTCTTAAAATTATATATTGTATATATTTTTAAGCTATCTAGATAATTTTACATATGTAATAAAGAATAATTTTTTTTTTTCACCACTACTGTATGTATATAAGAGCAAAAAAAAATTTTATAAATAAAATACCTTCATCCAAAAAATGATTTTTTCAAATCGATTAATTATACAAATCAGTTCTTAAAAATGATTGTGAAAAATAAAAAATAATTCGTGAAATAGTAATTAACAAATTGCTATACAAGAAATGAAAAAATTGAGTATACGATTCAAATTTTTATTGACGCACGAACCGGATGCAAGATTTGCTATACATGTCGCGACACGCGAATAACAATTATTACGGAACGTTTGAAATCAAAATGGTAATGTAATGGCACGAATTTTAAGAAACATCATTAAATTGATTCGTGCAGACACTCTGCAATTCGTAATAAGATTTTGTACATTTATTAATACAAATCCGTAGTGTTCCCGGTTTGTAACTTTTGGAATTTTTTTTTTTTTTAACAGGAGGAAGAAAATGTTTACAAGGTTTTTTCGTTTTCGTTTTTTTTTTTTTTTTCTTTTTTTTTTTTTTGGCTTTTTTTTTTTTTTTTTTAGAAAAGAAAAAAAAGAAATAAAAAATTAAAGAAACCTATAACTTTATATATATATATATATATATACTGAAGTAAGGTAAAGTACAAAAAGAACAAGATTTCTAACAGAGGGGAAAGGCGTTAAGCGTTCTTAACGTAAAGCCACCTTTCTTTATACATTGTCATAGTTTTGTCCTCCGACTTTAACACCACGGTTAAACATCACCACACCTGCCAACATTTTACCTAAATGATTCTTGGTAGACCTCGCGACTTTCCTAGGTGGTTTCTCGTAGGACTTTTGATGGTCACGTGATCTGTGTGAAGTCGCGATGCTTTGTCCCGTGTTAGTGACCTGTGATGTGGAATCAGGGGATGGTTTTGTTTGCACGGGTGAACCGATCATCGGGGGAACATAGATTGACGGAGAGCTTTTTAAATTTCGAGCGGGAGGTGACGGTAGTTCTCTTTTGGAAACAGGTTGACGAGCATGATTGAAATCCTTGTCATGGTTCGTATTTGAAGGGCGCGGAGGTTTTTGTCGACGAGGCGACACATAATCCATATTGGGACGGGGAGTCGAAGTTTCCTCTCCTAATGAATAGGAGCCACGACGTCGGTTAGAGGACATGTCTTTGCGTCGTTGCTCTAGACGCTCCCTACGTTGATTGTAGGAGGTCCAATGGCTATTATTATTATTTGAGGCCGAGTTGGAACCGTTATCCGTAGATAGCTTTCGTTGATGACCGCGAACTTTATGTTCACCCCATGGCTTTGGCTTGCAATATATAACCTTGGGTGGAGACGTGGATACAAGTGTTCTAGAAGAGCTGGCGTTTTCATCCAATCCATTCCCACGCTCTCGCGCTCCCTTAATAACGTTAGTATTGATGTCTTCATCGGTGCCAAACCCAGAATCGACATCGCTGTTGTTGGCGATCGTGTCGACCGAACTCTCATCGTATTTTTCTTTGTCCTCTTCTCGAGATTTGGTGCTAAATCTACTTGATTTCACTCCGACTGAATCAGTAGCAACGTGTTTATCAGCAAACAATACTGGGACGGTGAAATCCATTTCGTTGTCAAACTCGCCAAACACCTCTGACCAAGAATCATTACGATCGTGACCATTCCGTCCAGAAGAACTTTTGTTGGGAACAGATGAAGGCGCAATATGCAACAATTGCTGTGGAACGACCGCATCGAAGTCTTGAGAATCATCCCTTTCCTCCTGCAACATCCTTTCGACCATGTCGGCGCACCAATAAATCCATTCCTTGATACTAACACGGCCTTCATCTGCGTTGCAAAAAACGCGTTTCGCCAAAAAATGGGCAACCTTTTTCGGCATAGACGCGAAACGGCGGATCAGGAAACTAGGTTTGTCAATATTGAACGCGGCAAATGACTTGCACTCTTCAGGGTTGGGATCGGACCATGGTGAACGGTGGTATATCAGGTTGAGGAAAATGATACCAAGTGACCATACATCAGCGAGGCGCGGATCATAGGTATCATGAGTGGGATTGCGGCACTCTGTTTCGGTTGGAAATTGACTCTTTCAGTAAGGTTTACTATGTTATAAGACACGGTGAACTGATTGAATCGGTGCAGCGACTGAAATGCACGTACCGTAACTCATGTATGGTTTTGATCCGCAATCAAAGTCCGTGGATTCAATTTCTTCGGTGGCCAGCCCAAAATCAGTCAACTTTACTCGAACGCTGCAATCGGACTCGTCTTTATTTATCATGATAATGAAATTTTCCGGTTTGAGATCTCTGTGAGCAACACCGCGACTGTGACAATAACCGACGGCATCCAGAATCTGTAGAAAGACTTGTTTGATGAGCATCATTCTCTCCGTCTCGGATAGCAACCTGCCCGTCTCCGGATCCCTGCTGTCATTATTTTGTGTCAGCCAATAGTATAGATCTTGACCTTCACAGTATTCGAGCACCAAGAAAAGCCAATCGGGCGTCTCAAAGTAACGGTCAAGTTTCACAATATTGGGGTGCCTCAAGCGTTCGTGGACTATAACCTATAATTCAAGCAAAGAATCTGATGAGAAAAGAAATTCCGGGAAAACGCGCACTAAAGGAAATTAAAAATTTTTTCAAGGTAACGAACATACCTCGTTACGCTGAACGTCTAGTTGATAATCGGTCAGATTGGCCTTTGATAGACATTTGAGCGCATAATACTTTCTGGTAGACTTTTCGAGTGCCATATATACAACGGCATAGGAACCATTTCCAAGTGGTCTTATTAACTGGAAAGCAGAACCATCCTTGGGATTATAAATTGTCGTCCCAATATCAAAGGGTAAGATTATCGGTGAAGAAAGTGGTCCAGGTCGAAATGGCTGCTGATATCGCGAAATGGGCTCTTCGATATCAAGGACAAAAGGCTTAACAGGAGTAGATGATGA